CAAGTCGGATATCGGATATCCGCGCTCCGTGGTGTAAGGGTTGTTTAGCTCAAGGTTGATCCGATTTATGAACGCTATTTCCGGCCAGCTGTTCTCTACCGCTCCCTCCTGAGCGAAGTGCTCGGAGGTTCACTTAGGGACTGTCCATTTCTGAACCAAACACTCATGTAAATAACTGATACAAAAAAAGTGGTAATTCATGCTATTACACGAGACCACTTAAATGAACTCAACATAACTGAACATGAGTAACCTGGACAACATCATAGCAAAACATTATAACACCACACCAACAAAGGAATTTAGACACTCACCAGAATGGACATGTCTGGAGCAAACTTGTAGATAACTTGGATGTTGGAGAAAGTGATATCAGGATGTCTCACCACTGATACCCAGGACATTCGTCTTTTTCCTTAGCTCAGATAGCCTAGCCTCCTGTATTTCCAGGCAGAAAAACAGTGAAACGAAAGTCCGTTTTCCATTTTTTTACCATTTCGGTTGTGGTGATTGGACATAACACCTAATAACGCAGCATGTGTGTATCATCGCTAAATTATTTTAAGTAACTTACATTCAAAAATTCAAAATATCTGTGAGACAGTCGTTTTCTTGGTTGTGTTTATGGCCATACAAGATGATGCTCATACCCCTACGCCTAGAGCAGTGACGTCACATTCTAGAGCTCTATTGAGAAACTATTGGATGCTGAAGGTGTGGACTCAGTTGAGCTGTAAAATGTGTCTGCACTGTAAACGACCAAACAACAATAAAAGATAAGTATCAAGCTGAATAATATGGCTGTTTAATATGAATTCAGTATTTGGAAGCATGAATGGTTTTATTCATTTGCTTCTCTCCCATTACCAAACTAGAGGCAAAGTACATTTCTTAAACGGCATAGAAAATGGACGTGTTCATTCATGGCTTTTGCTTCTGTGTTATGATTGGCCTGGTTGAAATTCTACTGGAGAAATTGGTAGAACTTCACCAGTAAATTGTGCTGGATAGATTTCCAGACAGGCTTTCTCTCTATGGGAAAAAGGTCAGACAGAGGGAGAAATGAATCGAGTGGGAAGACATTGGCCAAGCGAAGTGTTATCCTGTTGAGAAATACCTGCCTTAAATGAAAGGCCAATTAACATGCTTTTGCTGCACTCATGGCATTCTGAAGAGGTCATCATTTGCATGATGATAATGATGTATGCTGGAGCAGAGACACATCGTTTTTTTGTTTGTTTGTTTTAAGGTTTTATTGGTTCTAGCTGCCTTTATTTAAAGTGGTCAGACAGGAAAGTGGGCAACGAAAGAGGGAAAGATATGTGGCACATGTCACCAGTGCCAGGACTTGAACCTACGACAACCATGTCGAGAACTAAGGCTTCATCACGTAGGCTGTGCCTTACCCATGCACAGCACAGACAATAGACACATCTAAACATGAAGGACACTATTTTGAGTGAATGTAGTGTTCTTTCTGAGTCCAAAGTCTGTATCCAACTGCACAACTTTTGAAACCTTTAAAGTTACAGTGCCTTGCGAAAGTATTCGACCCTCTTGAACTTTTCAACCTTTTCAGGCTTCAAACATAAAGATCTAAAATGTTTATTATTTTGTGAAGAATCAACAAGTGGGGCACAATCGTGAGGTGGACCGAAATTTATTGGATATTTTAAACTTTTTTAACAAATAAAAAACTGCAAAGTGGGGCGTGCAATATTCTTTGGCCCCTTTACTTTCAGTCCATCAAACTCAATAAAGAAGTTCAGTGAGGATCTCTGAATGATCCAACGTTGTCCTAAATGACTGATGATGAGAAATAGAATCCACCTGTGTGTAATCAAGTCCCCTATAAATGCACCTGCTTTGTGATCATCTCAGGGTTGTGCTTAAAGCACAGAGAGCATCATGAAGCCCAAGGAACACATCAGGCAGCTCCGATACTATTGTGGAGAAGTTTAAAGCTGGATTTGGATACAAAAAGATTTCCCAAGCTTTAAACATCTCAAGGAGCACTGTGCAAGTGATCATATTGAAATGGAAGGAGTATGAGACCACTGCAAATCTACCAAGACCTGGCCGTCTCGCTAAACCACGGATGTCAAAGTCAAATACACCGAGGGCCAAAACACCAAATTTGCCGAGCTCTGGACTGATTCACTGTTTACTAAAACATATTGAAATGATTGCACATAGCCTATTGAACCTAACACAGTGTATATTATTTAATAATTAAATGAATAAAGCAATATTTTCTTATGGCTCTGTCAGTAATTTCAAGTGTAACCATTTTTCAACAGGCAAACAGACAAAAACAAACTTCCTTCAAAGAAAAATAGCATGTAATATGAGCAGAATAAAGCAATATTTTGTTATGAATGTCTAACCTCAAGGGAAAACATTTTCAACAGGAAAACAGCAAAAAATTAAATTGTTTTGAAAAACTAAATATGTTTATTAATATCAAGATAAATACATAATTTAAAATGCGTTATACTGCTCTATGAAGATCAATGTGATACTCTTGTCTTTGTGTTTCTGAGAAGCTTGATAGTGCCTTCTTAGATTATATTCTTTCATTACAGCCAAACTATCTCCCCACAGAAGACACACAGACAGTCATGGCATAGTTACTTTGAAAAAGTAACTTTAATCAATTACTGATTACTCCTTGAAAAAGTAACTTAGCTAGATTATTAATTACTTGATTTGGAAAGTAACTAAGTTACATTAAAAATAACTTTTTTAGTTACTTTCAACAAGAATAATGCTCAGCCACCTGGGAAAATCACATTGATCTTTGCCAATATTTAATTGCAAGTTATTTTATAATAGTAACATCAACAATGTGTCTCCAGTTATATGGTTGAACTAAAGGGGAGATTGTTTAATGGTTACAACAGTGGAAAAAAAAACTTTTGTAATTTGTGCGTTTTTTGTGTGTTTCTATTGTCTGGAAAACAAGGATTTTAGACCCCTATCCCCCCGCGTCTCAGCCTCCAAATTGTGCTTTACGACCCTGCAATTGCTGTAACCCCTGCCCGTTCTACAATTCAGATGTCCTGATGCACAGACATCTGAATGTCTGTGCATATTTGTGACACTTATCTTAATATTAGTAATTATAATGGCATTTAGTTGCACAACTTTATGGACGTTCATTCGTGGCTGTTTTCATGTTTATTGCGCTGCTCATATTACTTTCGGTGTTTGTTATTTTCTGGAGCGCAAAGCGAAGCTTGACGTCATTGAGAAGTAAAATGTTAACTTGACATGAACAAAGACACAGCGGGACGGATTATGAATCTTGACTAAAACTGAGACTGCATGTCAGACAAATTCTGGGTTTATGTCGCTTATTAAGCCCAACAACCGCAACCAGCGACTTCATTAAATCTACAAGAAACTTAAGAAGAAAAAAAAAAAAACAAGCCCAAAGCCGCTTATAATAATACACACAGGTTTGCCTTTCACCTCCATGAACATGAACTCTGCCTCCCACCTGGATACTCTGTTCTCAGCGTCCACTAACCGTTTAGCTATTTTTGAGGAGGGGGGGACCTGAAAATTGATCTCTGCTCTGATTGCTGATGAAGTCGCTTGTGTGCTGCAGTGACTTTGCGGGCTACCGTTGCATTATGAGGAATGTTCCCAAGGTTCGTCCAAAACGCCAGTGGGCCGCTGTGGCCTGTGTACTGATTCTAAAAGTAATTAAATATCATCCAGGGAGCCATAGATAATTAATTTGTGGGCCGCATCTGGCCCGCAGGCCTTGACTTTGACAGATGTGCCCTAAACTTTCATCTGGAACAAGAGAAGACTGATCAGAGATAAAGCCAAGAGGCCCATCTCTGATGAACTGTTCTGGATGAACTGTGGAGATCTACAGCTGAGGTCTGTCCATAGGGTAACAATCAGTCGTATACTACACAAATCTGGCCTTAATGGGAGAATGGCAAGAAGAAAGACATTTCTCAAAATGTCCCTAAAAAGTCTTGTTTGTAGTTTGCCACAAGCCACCTGGGAAACACACTGAACATGGAAAAAGTTGCTCTGGTCAGATGAAACCAAAATCCAACTTTTTGGCCACAATGCAAAACGATACATTTATATATATATAATACAAATGGGTTGTTACTGTTATATTTGTTTTTTAGTTGAGTGCATTGTGATTGTCAGTTATGGTATTGTAAATTTTGTTTAATTTTCATAAACAAATATTACTTTTGTAATATGTTCTTCCTTCTTTGTTTCAGTTAAGGAGAAGCTAACAGCAGACCCGGACAGTGAAATTGCCACAACAAGTCTTCGGGTGTCACTCATGTGTCCGGTAATTTAAGCTTTTGTATAAATTGACACTATAAAAATACAAGATAACATTGTTGTTGGGACTGGGGGCAAAGATGTTTTCTTATGACAGAAACTGAAGACCATTTTCTTGATCTTGTCTACTTTTAACTGGTTCTCTGAGCACCTTGGCACAAAGTCATCCACTAAAGTCCTGTACTCGACCTCCAGGCCCCTGCAACACACATCACTATGACCATGTCATCTGAGTAGTCTTTCAGATGGCACAGTTTGGAACAGTGCTTAAAGTCCGCAGTGTAGGTGGTGAATTTTTATAAATAGCACAGCTCGGTTTTACATGTCAGATGTAAACAAGCAGTCTTATAATCTCACAAACTGTCAGATACTCCAGGATCCAGGTGATATGTGATGCAGCTACATCCATTTTTTGAGCTTCTCGCTTACCAATCCTGGCTGAATGGCCAGGATTAGTAAGGCTTGGAGCCTCTGTTTGGCAGTTTCAAGTGCATCTGCATCTCTGCAGATTTGTATATCTTATTAATTACTTGATTTGGAAAGTAACTAAGTTACATTAAAAGTAACTTTTTTAGTTACTTTCAACAAGAATAATGCTCAGCCACCTGGGAAAATCACATTGATCTTTGCCAATATTTAATTGGCACAAATTGAAAAGGGTACTGGGCTTCACCCACCTGTGTCCTCAGGTGCACTTGTATCAGCTTCTCCATAACCTTCATGATATCAGAGGTCAGAGCGATGTGTCTATGGCCGATATGGCTTTAGGAAATGCTTTCTTTGGCACTGACCTGACCTGAACATGATGCACAAATGTAAAAGAACTTTTACTAAATAACTTGTTCTACATACAAATAGAAAATTACCAACATAAGTTTCTTAAAACTTGGAATCAGGGTTTTCCAGACCAAAAGTTTAACCAAACCTTTAAATACCTAGAAAATTATACGTTTCTGCATGTGAGTCTGTGCATGAATGGGAATGACGGATTTCATTATAAAGCATCTTTGAGTGTTTTAAGAATGGGTTGAATAGCTGATATTTTATCAAAAATAAATATGCTTTTGTTCTCATTGCATTTATGACATGAACAGAATAACATTTCGCATTCCTGTTTGTTAGGTTTCGTGTTTAATAAGTCTCAATTACCATATTTTCCGCATTATAAGGCGCATAGAATAGATGCTACAGTAGAGGCTGGGGTTACGTTATGCGTCCTTTAGATGGAGCTGCACGAAAGTGATTGTTAACAAAACAGTCAGATTGGTCAGTCAAAATTTATTAATGGATTACAAACCAGCGTTCTCTCAGAATGAATAGCTGTTTTATTATTTTCCCCGAGGTAAAGTTAGTGACATGGTATTTTCGTGACACAGTTTATCTTTTAGCAACAGCAAGGTATAACATGTAGTGCAACATTTATATCACATAGTGGAGGGTAACTTTTCCTAAAACAGTAGCTTGTGTGTACCAAGATGGACCGCCTCTAAATTTATTGATATTAAATTCGAGTGCTAGCACTGTTGCCCTCATTCGAATAGTGATTGTACCGACACTTCTACCTGCTGCTCTCTGTTCAACAACCCACAGTTCGAGTTTGCCCTCCAACTATAGTCATCTTGCTTTGTTCCCTCGGAAACTCTGTTTAGTCTTCTTTACTTGGTGTAGATCCTCTTGTTGGTTCCTCCACCTCCATACCATTGATTCGTTAACGTTAAATTTTCTCGCTGTTGCTCTTTTCCCGTGTTCTACTACGTGATTGATCGTCTTGAGTTTAAACTCTGCGTCGTGAGCGTGTCTCTTAATAGGAGCCATTTTGGGGTCTTTACACAAACACACAAATGGAAATGAAACGGCACTGTTCGCGCAGTCATATATCCTATGTATATATGCTAGGATAGAGCATTATTCAATAAAGTCTAGAATTGTCCACTTTGCTTCTGGGAGGGAAGACTGACTTGCTGCAGCCTGTTTTGAGCCAGCAGCAGAACCTTGTATGTAGGAAGCTCCTACATACCAGGTATTTAGGTGCTTCCAGCAGGCTACATACAAAGTAGTCTGCTGGAACAGAACCTGTGGCGTATCCAGCGGCAGGCACGGCTCTCACACCGACAAACACAGGCTGCACAGACTTCTTCTACGGGGGAAAATGAAGTTGGCGGCTGCTTACCGTAGTTGCGAGACGTGTTGTGGCTCAACATTGGTCAATATATAAGATGCACCGGATTATAAGGCGCACTGTCGGCTTTTGAAAAAATTGAAGGTTTTTGGGTGCGACTTATAGTGCGGAAAATACAGTACACAATTTATATAAACTGAACAATATATTATACATTAAAGCAAGTATTTTTGTTCATGTTTTGATTTAATTTATTTTACCTGTCGTTTTAAGCTGGGTAAGATGCGACTGACAGTCCCGTGCAGAGCTGTGACATGCTCTCATCTACAGTGCTTTGATGCTGCCCTCTACCTGCAGATGAATGAAAAGAAACCTACATGGATCTGTCCTGTGTGTGACAAGAAAGCCGATTATGAGAATCTCATTATAGATGGGTTTGTAAAATAATGTTACTTTAGTTAGTTACATATCTTAAAATTCTGAAATTTTATTTATTTTCAAGGTTTGAGTAGGTCTGTGAAATATACATGTTTACACACTTTCTTCTTTGACACTCTAAGTAATAATTTGAACAACTATAAAAATACAGAAGGGTTTTTTGTGGGTGTTTCAAATAAATGACACATGGTATATATTCTTATTTCACCATAATATGCTCAATACGCTGAAGATTTCCATCATCAATTTAGGTATAGCCGTCTTGCTTTTTGGTCATTTCTGGCTGGTCACAGGGATAGCTGTTGCATAGGGCATCAAACAGATGCCTTTACTGGCAGTGGCTATCTTTAAATACCTTGAAGGTTGTACTTGTTTAAGACCATTCTTAAAATATACTGTAAATGTAAAGTGAGCCTTTGTTTTATTTATTACAAAGGAATCAAGATTTCTTAAGAAATTTTAAATTTAGTGTATGGAATTTTATGGTTTTAAATGAGCACAAAACCTTTACTCTTTAATGTAGCCTCTTGGATATAGTCATCCCACTATTGCTGACTTTCTTTTTATATTAAGCAACATTTCAGATAAAAAATGGCATTGGCCAAAATCCAAATGGTGCAGTGTAGATCATAATTGGTGATCGGCCAGAAAACTGCAATAATAGGTGCACCCCTACTTAAGATGGAATACATACACACATTTTCATGATGTATTTTGATGAAATACATCTTTGGCATAATTTCAATAACTAAAAATGTTATCTATACCAGGAGAGTCTCTCTCACCTGAGAATGTTGACCAGTACTGGGCTGATTCTGAGCCTCCAAACAATTTTAGCTAAGTCCGGGAGAAGTTTCACATAACTTAGAAATTTATTTAAAAATATTTGTTTTAGTCACATAAATTATGAGCAGCAAACAATATATTGTCAACTACAGCTGAGAGTAGCTCATTGATATATTAATGCAGAAGCCAATGAGCTTGCTGTAAAAAAAATAAGATCTTTGTTAAAAACGTGTCAATGATTGAGAAGTTTTATTTCTTATCAAACATATGTTATGAAGCCAAAAAAAACTCAGAAATATTTAGGGCCAACCAGGAGAATCAACTCATTTTAAGTTAAAACTCAGTTTCACACAAATACAAACATTCAAGCAAAACTTTTTGTCTGTTGAACTGGACCATTCAAGATTGCTGTTGGGCAAGATTTCTATTAGCAGCTCCACAAATTTTTTGGTAAATGTTGCATTACCAAGAGACATGCAGACATACCTTTATCTTGGCCTTTGTTAACTCTTCTTTCTCTTTCTTTTCTCTCTCCATGAAGGATAAGTCCTTTTTTTTACTACATTGTTTGTAAAAAAAGGAAAGGAAGGGAACTGAATTGAGTGAATATTTTACTCTCTTCTCAGTTTGTTCTTGGAGATCCTTAATGACTGCTCAGATGTCGATGAAATCAAGTTTCAAGAGGATGGGACCTGGTGCCCAATGAGACCGAAGAAAGATCCGGTCAAGTTGTCTGTTCATTCAGTTGGAAAAATAGAATGTAAGTACATAATATTTTCTAATCACTTAGTGCCATTATTACACTTATAAAAGGAAAATAAATCATTGGAATTGAGTTATATTTTGTCTTGAAAAATTATTCATACATCTTGAACTTTTTTATGTTTTGTGATGCTACAACCACAAACTTCTGTGTTCTGAATTTTTTTTAGAACTATTCAGGCGTTGTAGAATGGAAAAAAAGTGCATAAGGCATGAAATACATGGTGATTTATTTCACCTTAAACCTATTAATATCCCTCAATAATATTCAGTGTAACTGCTACATAAGTTCCCCGTTTAATAGTACATGTTTTGTATTTTCACCTTTACTAAAGACTTGTTATAAATTCAGATTAACCATTAAAATATTTTGAACCAAACTTGAAGAGCTATACATAGGTGCATGATTAAAGTCCTGCAGTCCGCCCAAGGACAGGGGGGAATGGGAGGGACAGGGGTATAGGGAGAACAGGGGAGATAAAGGAGATAGCGGGGCTTTTCTTGAGCAAGGTCCCTTTGGTCAAGCCAACACATCACCATGCCCATCTGATGTTTGCCATTGACTATCTGGATGTTCCTGACAAGGTCATGTGGTTTGATGAGAAAAAAAATGGTGCTTTTTGGTCAAAACTTTACTCACTGTATTTAGAGGAAGAAGAAGGATGAGTACAACACCAAGAATGCAATCCCAATTCTGAAGCACAGAGGTGGAAACATCACTCTTTGGGGATGCTTTTCCATAGAGTTGACAGTCTCCTTCCCTCAGTGAAGGCACTGAAGATGGGTTGTGGTTGGATTTCCAGCATGACAATCATCTGAGGGTAGATTCAAGGTAGAGCATGCAAATGACCGTTTATTTTCTGTGACACGAGCTAAAACTTCTATGTGTACAGTAGTGGCAGTGTTTCTTGTTTTCTTTGACCTATAATGCTTCTGCACACACATCAACAGCTGACATTTTTATTTACCGTATTTTCCGCACTATAAGTCGCAGTTTTTTTGATAGTTTGGCCGGGGGTGCGACTTATCCTCCGGAGCAACTTATGTGTGGAAATTAACTCATCATTATTTTATATCACATATTATTTTCACACTAAACCGCAAGAGGGCGCTCAAGGCCTGTGTTATTCTACCTTTGGAGTTAGCAGCGTTGTTTGCAAGTGACACTGAAGATGAAGATTTCATTGCGTTTAGTGATTTGGAGAGACACGGATGGTTTGGTAAACTTGTCAGCATGTTATTTATGCTAAAGTTATCTAAATAACGTTTAATATGTTAACATACCTGGCACGTTCTCAGTTCGTTGTTTATGTGTGGTAAACAACCGTACAATTTTTCAGCCTGTTGTTGCCTCTATTCTATTTTCATTGCCTTTCAAGATGACATGTCTGTTCTTGGTGTTGGATTTTATCAAATACATTTCCCTCAAAAATGCGACTTATACTCCAGTGCGACTTATATTTGTATTTTTCTTCTTTATTATGCATTTTATGGCTGGTGCGACTTATACTCCGGAGCGACTTATAGTCTGGAAAATATGGTAATTTAAAATAATGGCAAATAAATACATCAGATAATTGATAAAAATAGGTGAAACATTTTTATTTTTAATGGTGGAGAAACACATTTCTTTTAGTGCTAAAGCAACTCAAGTCTATTTTTGTTTTATTATTCATCGAGTTTACAGATAGCTCTAAAATGTTATTAATGCACACTCCATATTTTTACAAGGACTGCATCAGAAAATCTTCATTCTACTTTCATATTCTTCCCTAATACAACGCATTCATTAATATACTAATAATCACTCTAATTTTAACAACAAAGTAATCATAATGACGCTAACAGTGCTGTGTACCAATGACATAATACATCAAGAGCGTTTTTCATAGTTAGTGAAAACTATTTTTCCTTATACAAATGTTTGAATGTTTTATGTTTATACATTATTTTAATTCCACAGTCAAACCGTTTCATAGTTTCACACCACAGACTGAATACCAAAACTTCTTGTGGTT